TTTTTTTTTTTTTTTTTTTGTATCACGTTATTTGCATCTCCAGACCCCTTTCTCTTTCTCACTGCATATTCCTTGCCCAGGTTTCAAATAATGGATGACACACATTGGAAACCATTCTTTTAGGCGGGTTGCTCTGAGTGACAAATAAATCCGAGTTCACATTAAGAACATATTTCACTTCCATTTCTGGCGGACAATTCCAACCAGAGCTCTAAATGGAACACCAGGACCCATTCTCTGCCCAGCACTGGGCACCAAGTTCCTAAAGGGGGTGACAGAGAATAGGCACCTCTGGGGTTTCTTGGGAGATAAAGTTACAGGGAAGTTCCTGGCCTCTTGCTGGGCAGGAAGTTTATTATCTTCCTTTAAAGAAACAGACCAGCTAATGATTTGCTGACAGCTTGTAATCATTAACCCTCCCTCCTGAGGAAAATAAGGACACAAGAGACCCCCAGAGTAGTGGTGACCCAAGGGAAATGTGATAATGACCTAAAATAGTCTTATCAGCAACTTGAGCCTCACCAGGCATCAAAATGTGCCCTTGTAGCAAATTCTATAATATCTCTTTCAAGCGTGGTTGCTGAGAATGTCGATTTTATTGTGTATCATCTTTTTCCTTAAGGGGGGGGGGCCCTAAGGTGACAGAAAATGATTTGAGAAGAAAGAAATGTATACTTTGGCTTTGAAAAGTGTATTTAAAAAGAAAACAGTTTTCATAAATTGTTAAAAGTTAATTTAGGCCATAAAAGGAGGGCTCCCCCTACCCCCATAGGCTTGCTACCCATTTTTCAAAGTTCTCTCTAGGGTTGGCAAAATCAAGCATTTATTGAGTGCCTATTACAGGCTGCCTGTCATCACCTATAGGATAGACACCGCTCCTAATCACATAGATGATAGTCCCTACCCCCAAGGTGCTCACAAAATAATGAGGGAAATCGGGGCCAGTGCCTGTGGCTCAAAGGAGTAGGGCGCTGGCCCCATATACCGGAGGTGGCGGGTTCAAACCCAGCCCCAGCCAAAAACAGAAAAAAAAAAAAAAATTATAATGGGGAAATCAACCCAAAAGCAGGGGAGGACTAACAGTGGTGCCTCTGGCCCAGGTAAGGACACAGGGGCTTTGAGGGGTTTTGCACCTTACTCCGAGAGAACAGACTAATAAATGCAGACATTATAGAGCTAATAAGAGAATATTATAAATAATTTTATGACAATACATTTGACAGTAAAGATAAAATAGACATATTTATTGAAAATTTAAGAAATTACTCAAGTTCATTCAAGAGGAAATAGATAAGCCATCATATACCCACAAAGTTAAATTTGAAGTGAACTGCTCCACAAAGAAAATTCCATGCCATGTAGCTTCATGGGTGAATACTAACACATTAAAGGAAGAAAATTGTGCCAACTTTACAAAAACTCTTCCCGGAAATTGAAAAAGAGAGACCATATCCTAGCTCATTCAATAGGAGAACATTACTATCCTGGTTGCCAAACCAGACAAATATATAAGAACAAAAAAATTACAGACCAACATTTTTAATGAGCCTACACATAAAAATTCTCAAAAGAATGGTTGACATAATGTATTATAATGATAATACATCATAATCAGTGCAAGAAGATAAACATTTACAAAGACATAAAATGTATAAGGCTTGGAAAGGAAGAAATAAAATTGTCTCTATTCTGAGACAACACAATTACCCATGGAGGAAATTTCCAGGAATGTCCAAGAATGTATTAGAACTAATACATGAGTTTATTAAGTTCTCAGGAGATGAGGCCAACATATAAAAATCAATTGCGTTTCTATGAACTAGCAATGAACGATTAGTCATTGAAATGTGAAAAAGCCATTAGAAGTAGCACCAAAAGCCATAAAGAACTCAGGTAGGAATCTAACAAAACTTGTGCAAAATTTGTAAGCTGAAATCTGTGAAATATTGAGGAACAAAAGAAAAGAAACTACTAAATAAATGGAAAGCAATACTGTGATTATGATTAGAAAATTCAATATTTTCAGGTGTTGGTTCTCCCTAAATGGATCATCAATTCAATGTGATTTCAATTAAAATCCTAGTAGGATTTTGGGGGGAGGGGAGTACAAATGGACAAACTGATTCTAAACTTTTACGGAAAAACAGACGTACTAGAACAACCCAAGTAATTATGAAAAAGACCAAGTTTAAGGACTTACATGATCTGATTTCAACAAGTGGTTCAACTAATTTTTAGATGAGATTCCAATGGCTTACCTGGGCCCTGCTGCTTGAAGTTCTCTCCCTCCTCTTCATCCTGACCTCCTGGTACCCTTTAAATAAAGAACAAACCTTTAACAAGGCCCTTCCTTAATGATCTGGCTGTTACCACCTGTTGAGACCAGCTCTAAACCAATCCGGCCATTCGGAATTAGGTTGTTTGGAGTAAATACTGGTAACATCCAGTAGGTAGAGTGATGAGAGCTCCAGGTGACAACCCTTATCCCATTTTGTAAACCAGCATTACCTGGTTGGTTTTTGTTTAATCCCTGACTCTTCCCTCACTAGACAGGTAGCACCATGGAAGTAGGAACTGGCTAAGTGCGTTCACCTGTGTATAGCCAGGGCCTCACACGCTGCCCTGTCCAAACCGGAGCCCAATAAGTTACTTTCTGAGTGTTGTTAACTGTCATAGCACCAATCAGAAAGAATGAAAACCAGAGAAGATAGGCTCTAAATGATAGCATCTGCCATTTCTTTGTTTTTATTTCAGATTCATAGGAAGGTCCAGACGATTGGATCACATTGTTTGTGTTTATGAGGCAGAGCCCAAATTGTAGTTGTGCAGCCACCATTTATTGAACAACTAATATTTCCAGTCCCTACAAAAACTGTCCCGGAAGACATACAGAGGCAGGCATGGACTTTCCTAAAGGGAAAGCAAAGGATTGAGCTGAGATTCAAACCCAGAACATTCTGACTGCATGTCCCAGCTCCTCCTATGACACCACGGCATCTCAAATAACCACTGGCTGACTTGGTGAGAGCAGCCCTAATCGACATCTTGTTTTTCAAAGTGACTTAGAGATATTAGCTGTGCTGGCCGGGTGCAGTGGCTCATGCCTGTAATCCCAGCCCTCTGGGAGGCTGAGGCGGGTGGATTGCTTGAGTTCAGGAGTTCGAGACCAGCCTGAGCAAAGTGAGACCCCCATTTTTACAAATAGAAAAAACTATCCAGGTGTAGTGGCAGGTGCCTGTAGTCCCGGCTACTTGGGACGCTGAGACAAGAGGATCACTTGAGCCCAAGCACTTGAGGTTGCCGTGAGCTATGATGCTACAGCACTCCACCCAGGGCAACTGAGACTCTGTCACAAAAATGAAAAAATATTAGCTGTGCCTCAGTATGCCTGCTCCTTCTCTCACCTCCCAAACATGTCTGTTGTCCATGCTATGGTCCTGGGATTCAGAGCTGCCTGATGAGGGTGGGTCATGGTGAACAGTGCCAGTGACTCTGGAGCCCCTGCCTGGGTGAGGAGCTTGGCTGTGCCACATCTGTGAAAAGAAAGAGACCACAAACTCAAAAGAGGCATTTGAGACCAAAAGGTAGTTTACAAACATTCTGCATACAGGGAAAAAACATAAGGAGTCAGAGAGAAAACCATCTACGGAGGGACACCGTGACTCTCTCACCTCAGTAGCACCTGCTAGTTATAAACGATCTTCTGAAAAGCCAGCCTAGTAGCTCACGTGAGCCACCGGGGTCTCTTCCAGAGATCTGCCTCTCTGTGTGCTTAGAAGGCTCTTTTTCCAAGAGCTGCTGTGATGGTCTGAATGTTTGTGTACCCCCCAAAAATTCGAACGTTGAAACCTTATCCCCAACGCGATGCTGTGAGGAGGCGGGGCCTTTCAGGGTGGAGCAGAGGGGTTGGTACTCTCAGAGAAGAGGCCCTGGAGAGCTTCCTCACCCCTTCCACTGTGTTTGCTTCTCTCTGCTTACTTCCTCATCTAGAAAGTGGGGCTAAAAATAGGACTTTACTTCAGAGCATTGGGATAAACAGCAAATACAGGCTTCCTTTAGCAGTTTTATGGAAGGCACCCACCTGACTAACTTCAATTCCTTCACCTAAACACATTTCACTGGCAGTGCATGACTTCCGCTTGCAGGTCCAGAGTCCTTGTTTCATTAGAGATTTCACTCAAATGGGCGTTAAACCTATGTCAACCCAGAGCCCTCCAAGTATAGAACCACCACAAGTATAAAAAGAAATACTTTTTTTTATCCTCATCACAGTAGTACCTTAAACGTCTGTCACTTGCCATTGTTTTAAATTCTCTATTTGATTTTGAGCATTGTCCCTCTGCCCCAGCATGAAATAGAATGCTTGGTATGTAGTGTGCATTCTCGGAGTGTACCGTGAAATCCTCTAATACTCTAAATGTTTATAAAAGCTCCAATTCAGGTCTCCTAGCCCAGAAGGGCAAAGTCCATGCTTGCTCAGAATCAACTTCTGAGTTAAATCTGAATTCCTTTTCTTACCTTGACAAGCATTTCATTAACTGGCTCCAATCATCCCCTTATATATCCCGTCGCCCTCCCTCTCCTCTCACCCCTCAGCTCTCAAGTCCCAGCCCCATCAAAGTCTATCATTCCCAGAACAGGCCAGGCCCTTCTATAACTCCAAGACTCTGTACTTGCTATTCCTTCTTCCTGAAATACCCTTCCCTTCTAGGCATGGCCAACTCCTATTCTGCCTTCAAAACCCCAGCTTAGAGAACTCCTCCTCTGACATCTGTCAGATTCCCTAAGGCAGCAGCGGTAGCTCCCTCCCCTCAATATTCTGTCTTACTGCACCAATGAGAAGGCATAGCTATGAAGTCATGCCAGGGCTAAGCTAAATTCCCAGCTTTGCAACTCAGAAACCAAGAGACCCTGAGTGAATTACGTGACCTCTGTAAAGTTCATCTGCTTGAGCGTCAATAGCAACCACTGCTGAGGACTGGGGATGATGTAAAGGAGATCATTTTGCAGGGATGTCCAACCTTGGTTTTTTCTCTGCCACACACTGGAAGAAGAAAAGTTACCTTGGGCCACACATTAAATACACAAACACTAACAAAACCCAATTGGCACCAAAAAAAGAAAAGAAAAGAAAAAAGTCTATGCTTACTTTTCATGTTGTCTGACTCCACAAGTAAGCAAGAAAAGTCATCACAAAATCAGCGTGCAAACTGCAGGCCACAGGTTGGACACCCCTGTAAAAGTGTACAGTAAATGCTCAGGAAATGGTAGACAGTGTGACGCCTTCTGTTCCAGCACATAGCCACACTGAGATTCCCTCATTGACATGTCTCCACCCCAGTGAAACCCTAAATGATACCAAAAGGGTCTGTAATTGTTTCTTATCCCTGGCAACTAGCACACTAGCTGGCTCAGGGTAGGCATTTAAATGCATCCTTGCAGAATGTTTGTGTGCTGTCATGAATGAATGAATCTGAGCTGTTTGCTCCCCTAGAGTGCCCAGGAGGAGCGGCGTCCCCTTGCAATGGCAGGGGCAGTTGTGCTGAAGGCATGGAAGGAAACGGAACCTGCTCCTGCCAAGTAAGTTCAGAAATGTGTTCTCTTTGCCCCTGATTCTGCTTCCCCTTCTTTACCTGTTGATTTCCCTTAAATACACACACACACTAGGTGAAGTCTCTAAGAGACAGAGGTATAATAAAAGAGTGTGCAGGCCAGGCACAGCGGCTCACACCAGAAATCCCAGCACTTTGAGAGGCCAGGGCAGGAGGATCACTTGAGCTTAGGAGTTTGAGACCAGCCTGGACAATGTAGTGAGACCCCATCTCTACAAAAACATTTCAAAATCATCCAGGCATGGTGCCATGTACCTGTAGTCCCAGGTATTGGGAGGCTGAGGCAGGAGGATCACTTGAGCCCAAGAGCTGGAGGCTACAGTGAGCTATGACTGTGCCACTGCACTCCAGCTTGGTTCACAAAGCAAGACCCTATCTCTAAAACTAAAAATATTAAAAATATTTTTTAAAAATGTAAGTATAAAATTTGCAACAAAATGATCTCTTAAGCATCTAGGGACCTTCAGGAGAGTCAATTAACTGCTCAGCCTTCAGCAGAGTCACCTGTAAAGTGGGTTTGATAGAGTACCTATGTAATAACATTTGCTGAGAAAGTAAAATGAGATCATGATGTGAAAATCCTTTGTGACACCACACAGAGCTAAAGACATTGTCACTGTTGCTATTAATAATCACCCCTATTCATCAACTACCCTTGGGTGCTATCCTCAGTGTCCTTTGTAAGCCATTGGGTCTGCCAATTGGAGAGTTTCTTTGTTACCTCCTGAAAGTGACTTTTTGCAAGACTCAAACCTTAGGGGATTAAATAACAGAAATCCTTCTGAAAGGGATTGGGCTCAATTGTCTTAAGAAATGCAAAACTGAGTTTTCCTTTCATGCCTGGGTGAAACTGGGATGTTGGCACTTGCTGTTTAAATCTTTGGACTGACAAAGCAGCTTCCTTCAGGAGAGCATCAGACCCTTAGTAAAAAATGATTCGGGATTAATCTGTGCATTATAACACACACACACACACAAAGCAAAGAACAAAGGAAAATCAGAAAGGAGGGGCTTTAGGAGAGGCCCACAGGGAAGATGTATTTCAGAAACAGACACTGACCAGACCAGACAGCTGCAAGGGCTTGGAGGGCTTCCTGGGTAACGCGTCTCCCACCGGGTCTAATGTCAACCCCTCTTGCAGGACGGGTTTGGTGGAACTGCCTGTGAAACCTGTGCTGATGACTCCTTGTTTGGACCCAGCTGTTCCACAGGTATGCCTGATTTTTGTGGGATCAAAGCATTTGTAAGGGTGGTGAGTCCCCAGAAAGACTATTTGTTGAAGGGAAAGCATTGAATGTCTCTATATAACCAAGTCTACACAGCAAAAGCAAAAACTTAGCAACAAATCTCACAAAATGGGATCATTGGAAAGAGAGGCAGCATTTTCTATGGTTCCCAGAACCTGCAGTCAGCTACTCACCAGTAACGCTCTCTGGCATCCTTCAGATTCCCTCTCCCCAGACTCCAGGATCCAAGAGCTGCCCATTCCTCACCTACCCAGCTTTTCTCTCGGGTCTTTCTAGATCTTGGTTTCAGCATAGATCCTATTTCCACCATAGGTTCCAACAAATTCTAATTTTTCCCTTCCTTTTGGGAAGAGAAATGATGGCCTGAGGTGGTCAGAGATTGCTCTGAGGTTGGTGCTCCTAATGAAACAAACAAACCTGACCGTGGCTTGTCCACTCTCTTATTTTGGGCTGCCCCCAGAAGTGGACCCTGAGAAAGGGACTGGAGTAACTAGTGGTTTATTTGGACAGTGATCCAGGAAACACTGGGCATGAGGAAGTGGCAGGGGGGAGATGAAGAGCATGTTATCCAGTCAGGTACCACTGAGGACCACTGGAGCTTTGCACCCTGGGGGGCTCTGGGAGTCGGTGCAGAACACACATCTCAGTGTCATCTCACCCAAGGGGAAAGGCAGCACAATGAGGCAGGCAGGATAACAGCTGTCCAAAGACATGTCCACCAAATCCCTGGGACGTGGAATTTGGCAAAAGGAGAATTAAGGGGTAGATAGAATTAAGGTTGCTAGTTATCTGGCCTTAAAAGAACAGATAACCCTGGAATATCTGAGTGGGCCCAATGTAATCACAAGGGCCCTTAAAGGTGGAATAGGTAAGTAATGACAGAGAGATGACATGTGGAAGACTCAACCAGCCATTGCTGGTTTGAAGAAGGAAAGGGAGCTGTAAACCCAGGCATGGGGGAAGCTTCTAGAGGCTGGAAGAGGGAAGGACACAGATTCTTTCCTAGAGCCTCCTAAAAGGAACACACGCCTGCCAACACCTTGATTTCAGCACAGTGATTTGGGATTTCTGACCTCCAGAAATGTAAGTTTGTGGCCATGGGTTACCACAGTGATAGGAAACTAAACCCCAGAGTCTTAGGGGAAGAGTGGCTTCTGTCCGCACCCCCAGCGCCCAGCTAGCGCCCAGGCAGAGCAGGCTCCTGAGGGTCACACAAAACCCTCAGGCAAAGAGTCCTGGATGAGGGATCCAGCTGCAGTGTCTGCAGTCTGCAAGACCTAAAGACTGGCTGGGGTTAAGGACAATGTTCGCCAGAACCACAGAAGGGATATACTTGGTGGCCTTTCTCCAATACCACTTTGGTTCTGGCTATTATGAAAAAATTAAATTTGGTAGACACTGCTATGATTCAAATTTTTTTTTTGCAAGAAAACCAGCACACGCACACATCACATCCCCATAAATTTGCATACTCTGTAATAAATTCCATCCGCAACAGCAGAAGCAGTGCCTTGGTCTAATCCACATGGTCTTTGAAAGTTAGAACCACTACTTCTTCCTCCCAGTCCCTCCTACACGCTGTGTGCATGGCAGGCACTCCCTACACTTGGGTGGATGAATAAACGTGTGAGTGTATGAGTGTATGAATGGGTGAACCCATCATCCAATTCACTCCGGCATGTGGTCCTGACCCAAAAGCACAGTTTTAGAACCCAGACTTTAGATTCAGACCAGGTTTTAGACCCAGGGCTACTAATTGTGAGAACCTAGATCCCTTAACAAACCACCTTCTCTTTTTTTGTCCTCATTGGTAAAAATAAAAATAATGTTGCCTCCTTGATGGAGGATTCGATAAAATAATCAATGTACAATAAATGTTAGTAATTATTATTGTTACACTTACTATTTCCTTAGTGTTCCCTAATCATAGTTGTTAGCAAAAGCAAATTTAAAACACATGATGATATTCTGTGTTTTTAAGGTTAGATGTTACGTTAAAAGACAGGCAATTTTGTCTCCTTCCAACTTCCCTACCATAATACCAGAATTTAAATAAAATAGTTTACGGAAGTATTGGGATGGGAAGGAATAAAGAAGGCAGCCAGCATTGCTTAGTTCCCAAGAAAACTGAGTAATTGTTTTGGGATGAAAAATTAGAAAGAAAATGAACGTGTTACTCCAAGAAGCAAGTATTGGTTACGGATGTCCACAGGTGTGCACAGAAAATCCAAACATTTCCAAATAAAGGAAATATCCTCCCTTCCAACTTGTGTGAGCCATGGAGAAAGGGCAAGTAAAAGGGAAAAGATGGTTTAGAAACCTAAATTTTGAAGTAATAAAATTGGATACCTAAACCAAGATTAAACTCCAAGCTCTCAATTCCAATAGAACTTGCTGTGGCCAGGCTCAGTGGCCCATGCCTATTATCCTGGCACTCCGGGAGGCCAAGGCAGATGGATTGCTTGTGTTCAGGAGTTCAAGACCAGCCTGAACAAGAGAGAGACCCTGTCTCTACTAAAAATAGAAGAAATTAGCCAGGTGTTATGGTGGGCACCTGTCATCTCAGCTACTCAGGAGGCTGAGGAAAGAGGATCACTTCAACACTTGAGGTTGCTGTGAGCTATGATGCCACGCACTCTACCCAGGGCAACAGAGTGAGATTCTGCCTCAAGATTAAAAAAAAAAAAGAACTTTCTGCAATGATGGAAATGCTCTGTATCTGCACTGTCCCACACAGTGGCCACCAGCCACATGTGGCCTTTGAGCACCTGAAATGGAACTAGTGTGACTGAAGAAATGAATTTCAAATTTCAGTTAACACTACTTCGCTCATATTTAAATGACCACACTAGTGGCCACCACATTAGCACAGCTCTAAAACGTAATGATTAAGAGGACAGGCCCTATGGTCAGACTAGCCTGAGTGTGAAGCCAGCCCCAGTGGCTGTGTGACAAAGGCAAGCTATTTAACCTCCCTAGGCTTTCCTCATCTATAACATAGGAATAGTAATACCTGCCTCGCGGGGCTGATGACACAGCAAAGCTTTTAGTAGTATATTTAGTAGTATATCACAAGCACTCAAGCAATGGAAATAAACATTAAACAAGGACAAAAACAATCCAGGAGAAAGTTGAATTATGAGCAAATGAATGAATGAATGACTCAGAGATGGCTGGTCCTCTCCCATTGACAAGGAGAGTAACTTGCAGACATTTTCAGCCAATTGGCCACTAGGGGTCAGTGTTGTTTCATGCAACAAGGTGTTAGTCTAGGGCGGTGACAAATTGGTCTGTAAGTAGGGCGCTGTATTAAGTGCAGTTTATTTTTAATGTTGGCTGAGGCTGGCTGCCAGAGCGCTCTCCTCCCAGACTGCAAGTTGCTTTAGAGAAGAAGTCGAGCTGCACTAGCCAAAGGTTTTCATCTCTGCTGCCAACCCTCTTGCCATCTCAATGCCTCCCTCCCAGCCCTCGCGACTGCAAAGCCCACCTTCTTTAACATGACCTGCAAATCAGTCCACACCATGTATCATTAATAAAAACAGCTAGCATTTGCTGAGGGCCTACTGTGTGCCAGGCAATGTGCAAAGAGGTTTCTTTGGATTCTCAGACAACTCTTTCAGAGGGAGGTTTCTCATTTTATGGATGAAGAAGCAGGGAGGTCGCTCAGGGCCATGCAACTATGATGGGGGCAGAGGCAGGATATCACGTCAGGTCTGTGTCTTCAGAGCCTGGGCCCCAAGCACTGCACTGTTCTGCCCCTGCCAAGCATCCACCATGTGTTATGTCCCAGACAGATGATAGGGATCCTAAGACGGACGAGACCAGGCTCCCAGCCCCAAGAAACTGAAAACGTGGGCTGGACTCTGGTGCAGTGTGCACAGCCCACACGGCATGACGGGCACACAGGAATTGTTCCCACAGGGGGCGTCAGAGGGGGCTGCATGCGCTGTCCATCCAATGAGAATGGCCCCAGCTTTGACCACTTTAAGTCACACTGCCCGAATTTCACGTGTCTCTGGAGATTTGCTGAGGTTGATTCACAAAGCACCAAGGGCTCTTTTTGTGACCATCTGGGGAACACGTTGCCACTCACATCTCCTTCCCAAGGACACATTCCTGGCAGCAGCTGGCAGCCCTGCAATGCGATGCCAGAGGCTTCCAAAAGCTGCCCATGCCAGGTCAGTTCATCCAGGGCAGAGGCTACACTGGCTAACAGGACGCAGGGAGATGCTCATACCGCACAGCCAGGGGTGGGCATCTCACAGCAAGGACAACACTTGCACTTACCATAGGCACTGGGAGCAGAGACTGAGTGACCTTCGCCTCCCCTCGTGCCCCTCACACTCCTTGACTGGCTGCACCACAGCACTTTGGACGAGAATCGTCCCTGTATCCCTAGAGCTTCGCTTTCCATTGCACTGTGAGCTCCTGAGATTTAGATATTGTCAGCTACTCATATTTGTAGACCTAGTGCCTAGTACAGTGCCTGCTATTAGGTAGGCGCTGAGCAAATATTTTTTAATTCAGTTGAATTAAATCTTCCCCTTTAAGCCCATAGGATGCCCCTCCCTGCATCCTGGTTATCTCCGTTACTAACTTAACTTCTCTCCAGGACCTGTCTGGCTCCAATAGCTACAGCCTAGTAAACATGATGTGCTTTGCTAAAAAGAATCAGTGGCAACAGAGTTTCTGAAGAGGGGATAAAACTCACAAAACCAACTTAATTCTTCATTTATTTCAGTGACTACCTGAATTAATTATCTCCCATTCCATTTTTTCATACGTGATACCGAAATAAAAATGATTCCTACCTCGAAGGGTGTGGTGAGCATTAAATTACATTATGCATGCAAAGCACTAAGCAAAAGGCCTGGCAAATAGTATTTAATAAAGGCCAATGCAGGCTCTCAGCTCCAAAATTGGAGGCGGCATCAAAAAACTAGTAATCAAGAAGAATAATTGTGTTGGTGTCCCAGGGATGCTATGACAAAGGCCTGCCAATTGGTTGAATGAAAAGAATAGAACGTATGGTCTCAGTTCTGGAAGCTAGAAGTTAAGTATGGAGTTGTTGGCAGGGCCATACTCCATTCAAAGCTTCTAGAAGAGGATGCTTCCTTGCCTTTACCAGCTTTGGTAGCTCCAGATGATGCTTAGTGTGGCATCGTGGCTCTAATCTCTGCCTCTGTCTTCACACGGCCCCTCCCCTGGTATATCTCCATCTCTTCCCCTCTTTCTTATAAGGAAACTAGGACACAAGTCATATTGGATTAAGGGCACATCCCACTCCAGTATGGCGTCATCTTAACTAATTACCTCTGCAATGACCCTCCTTCCAAATTGGGACATGCTGAGATATTGGGGCTTAAGACTCAAACAGATTCTTTTTTGTTGTTGTTGTTTTAGACAAGTTCTCTCTCTTGCCCAGGCCAGAGTGCAGTGATATCATCATGGTCCACTGCAGTGTCAAACTCCTGGGCTCAGACAATCCTCTTGCCTCAGCTTACCGAGTAACTAGGACCACAGGCATACACCACCACACCCAACTAATTTTTTCTACCGTTAGTAGAATTGAGGTCTTGCTCTGTCGCAGGCTGATCTTCAACTCTTGAGCTCAAGCGATCTTCCCACCTCGGCCTTGCAGAGTGCAAGGATTACAGGCGTGAGCCACCACACCCGGTCAAGACTCCAAAGTATTCTTTGGGGGGACAAAATTCAACCCATAACAACAATATTTTTAAAATATGGAATGAAACATCAAAATAAAGGCAGGATTCGACTCTGCACTTGCAATCTGGTGCCCTACTCCCTCACCCTAATCTCAGCCCTGTTGGATGCTGTCTTTATCTAAAAGCTATTTGAGTAGTTGTTGATATTGTTGTAGGGCTGTAAAAGATGTCGTGGGAAAATACAAGGTGGAGGGAAGGCCTGTCAAGGGGTTGCAATCTAATAGGGGAGAAAAATGTACAGATTGAGAAAGAGAAAAGCAGCCCAGACTGCTGTCAGCGGGTCATTGGCCTCGTTGCTGCCAGCTAGAGTGTCACCTGCTGAGCATAAAGAATTTCACAGAATATCACCAATCAGACAAAAACTGGCCACATCCATGGTGGAACAAAACTAAACTAAACAACTGCATAATAAGGTCCAAACAGAGACTAAACAACAATGGACAATCAGAAAAATAACTCAATAGCTGTGTCTCCTGCTAACACGAGTGCCTCTTCTGTGAAGGTTCACCCTTGCTGCCGAATTCGTTGGATCACTGGTGTGTTCCTGGTGGTCTTTGGATACCAGGCATCAGCTAAAGTAATAGTCTGAGTAGGACACAATAGATAGTGGGCATGGTATAAAGCATTGCCGGAGCAGAGGACCGCTGAGATGGAACCACAGAAGCTGGAACTTCAGCTGGGTTGAAGGATGAGGAGGATTTCAAGTGGCTCACACAAGGGAGCACAGCAGAGGCAAAAGCACTGCGGTGTGGAAAGCACAAGCTGCCTCTCCTGAGACTTCTGACTTCCGACTTCCACTCTAGAGTGGTCTTCCTAGGCCAGCCCAAACCCTCGCTTCTTCCTGGTCAGCTCCCATTGGTCCGTTGTGTGGTTGAGTTTATCGCACTGCATTACTATTGGCTGTCTTCTCCCGCCTTTAGACTGAGAGCTCTTGGAGGCCAGGGACTTTGTCCTGTTTACCTTTGGACCGATTAGCCTCTAGCACGATATCCCAAACATGGTAGGTGTTCAATAAATGGTATGAAGGACAGAAAGGAAATAGCAAACCAGAGTCATCCCACACACTGAGAATCTAAGATCCATAAAATGAAGGGATGAGAGATGAAAATGAAAAAATTATCAAGGCCAGAGTCAGATTAGAGAGATCTTTGTTTGCCAAACTAAGGAATCTAGATTTCATTTGGTGGGCAATTGAGAGTTGTTGAGATATTTGGGGGATGTTCACCCAGATGCCATTGTTAATATATTGAAATGGATGGGATAAAAGGTGAGAGATTGGAGCTAGCTAGGCAAGGCAAGATGCTACTGCAATAATCCAGGCAAAACATGGTAAGAACTCGAAGAAGGACTATGGTACCAGTGGCAACAAGGAACAGGAGAGCAAGGTGGGAGGCCTAGAGAATACAAGTGACTTGATTCTCAGATGCTTGGAATACTTTAAACTTTACTAATCCCTGCTTTTCTGGCATTTTTAGTTAAATTTTTAACCAGGTATGTCTTAATTATGTTCCACTTTGGCTAATGTTAATTTGGCTTACATGCATTGACCATATGTGTGGTAGGAAGAATAACAGCTACTGAAACATAACTATAGTACAGAAAGATGAAGGAATGAGGAGAGAGAGGGGAGAGGAGGGAGGCCATGGGAGGAGGGAGCGCATTTGGGGAGACCTTACCTAATGTACATAATGCAATGATGCATGTCAAAACTATTAAGAAATGAATGTAGGGCAGTGCCTGTGGCTCAAGGAGTAGGGCGCCAGCCCCATATACCAGAGGTGGTGGATTCAAACCCAGCCCTGGCCAAAAACTGAAAAAAAAAAAAAAAATGAGTATAATTGTGATGGATGTGTTACTTAGTTCAATGTAAGCATTTCACATTGTATATCGAAACAGCACACTGAACCCCATAAATGCATTAGTGTATAAAGTTATGATTTAATAAAAAATAATAATTAAAAATAATAATAATGGCTGCCAAATGGCTTCTAATCCTGAGGACCTGTGAATTTGTTAGGTTACAAAGAAAAGGGAAGTAAGGTTGTGGATGGTATTAAGGTTACAAATCAGTCGATTTAAATTTGTCCATTTGAATGGACCAATTGTTATCCATCATCCAAGTGGGCTTAGTACAATTATATAGATTGTTATAAGAGGAAAAGGAAGGCAGAAGAGAGAGCCAGTGGAGATGGTAGGATGAGAAGAACTCTTTGTCAGCTTTGAAGATGGAAAAGGGGATTATGACCCAGGAATGGAGATGAGCTCTAGAAGCTGGAAAAAACAATGGAAGAGATTCTCCTCTGGACTTTCCAGAAGAAATATAGCCCTGTTGAGACATTGGCTTTAGCTCAATGAGACACATTTCAGACTTCTGACCTCCAAAACTATAAGATAAACATGTGTCATGTTAGCCACTAAGTTCATGGTACTTTTGTTACAGCAGCAGTAGAAAACTCATACCAAATCCTTCACAGAGGGCTGCCCAGAGGATGCTATTGGCTCAGCCTGATAGTACATCTGGCTCAAATGAGACACAAACCGGGTCCTAAAGAGTTGACTATTTATTTCAAATGCCCTTCATTTGTTGCCTCTGAAATGATTTGTCAATGGGCTAAAAATTCATCTATTTCAAGCTAGAAAAAATGGCAAAATTATTCTAGGCCCTTCTGGATTTCTTTTTCATCCTCATGTTGCTCCATCATTCAGGAAGTAGGATTTATTTGCATAAATGTTTGCTACCAACAGTGATCGACTTAGTATCAGGTTTTCTTTTTTAAATGCAACAGGTGTATATAAAACATTAAGTTAATTCTCTTGTTGGGGCACCCAAATATGAAATAGTTTGAAAATAGGGAGATAAAAGCTCCAAAGCCTGTGATATGCCAGTTATGCTTTATAAATATTATCTCACATAACTCTATAGAAATCCTAGAAGTGAGGTATCATCATCTACATGTTACATACTTTAAAAAAAAAAAAACTGATGCTAATAAAAAAAAGATGAAGCCAGATTCAAACAAGGGTCTCTAGGTCTACAAACCCATGGTTTTCTTCACCTTGTCATACAGATTCCCAGCAAAGACTATCTGAAAATATTAGGCTTCTGGAATCATTAGATGCAATCTCTATCAGGTAATAAAAATGCCCCATTTTCTATCTGCAGTGTGCAATTGTGTGCATGGGGTGTGCAACAATGGACCAGATGGTGATGGAACCTGTGAGTGCTACTCTGCATACACTGGCCCCAACTGTGACAAGCGTGAGTACCCCCCTAGATCAAACAGCACAGATGTACGCATTTCAATTTTGCTCTATGGGGGTGAGGTGCCATCAAATGTTTGCTAGAAGGAAATCAAAAATTTAAAAAAGAGAGGGTAGAGGAAAAAGAGGGGAAGGGAGGAGAGGGAGGAGAGGAGAGTGGAGAGAGGAACAGAAGCAGTGCAGTGACAAGGCTATAGCTATGTTTTAGGAGGTCAAGCTGGAGGCAGTGTGTAGGGTAGAGTGGAGAAGGAGGCACTGGGGCTAGGAAGCTAATAGCAGCCATTGCAACAGGTTAGTCACCTAGTGAAGGGGATGAGACATAGTCTCAATTATAGGTCACAAAGGCACAGCACATGAACAGCCCTAAGGAGGAGGAAACAGAGGCTCACCAAGCCTAAGTGACTCATCGAAGATCACACAGCTGGTGAATAAGAGTTGGGACTCAAATCATTTGACCCCATTAAACAATCTATTACACTGGGTCCAATCAAGAGATAGAAATCACAGGGTGATTTAAACAAGAGAAGTTTAATATGAAGAATTAGTAAGCTGCAAGACAGTAGTAGTGACAAAATGCAAACTCTGAGGATGATGGAGCCTAAGAAGGACAGTCTTGAAAGGGGTTGGCCATTCCCAAAACAGGATTCAAACCTTGATGGAGAGGGTGTGGCTGGCAAGCCCACTAGGTGACTGACAAGTTTGCTATGTTTCCCAAGCCAGCACTGGACCACAGTGACCTAGCAGGCATGGGACAACCCTTCAGTACACCAGGGTGCTGAGGCTGGTGGGTGAAGGCGCAGAAGAATCTGGGCCCTGGCATGGGGGGAAGGCTGGGTTGTGCAGTGTATGTGTGGGGAGGGCTGCAAGAATATCACTGGGTTCAGGCCAAGGATGCAAAGTCACCTAGGGACTCTAGGTACATAGCAGGGGTAAAGCATCCCTGAACAGACTATGAGTATAAGCAGCAGCAAACAAACCCAGCAGAAGCACACCTTTGCACCCTGGATCTAAAAGGAGGAACCCCTGCCTCCTGCCTTGTCTCTCAGCGCCCTCTACTGGCAAAGCTTATATTGCTCTGTGAAGGAGAGACTCAGCAGAGCAGGTTCTGAAGGGTGAACTTGGAGCTGAGAGGTTAAGAAATTGGTCCTTCTGCCTGTAACTCTAGCCTCGCCTAACTTTTCCTCTGGACTGTAGCCTCCTGTAAAATGAAGGGATTGGGCAAGATTACATGTCAACAAAGGCAAACTCGTTTTGTTGAAAGCCACTGAGATGCTATGAGCACTGGCAGTGACAAGGGAATAAAACACAGCCTCTGCCTTCTTTCTGTGGAGGAGACAGCCTTGCAGACCACCAGTTCAAATCCAAGGCCAGCTAGGTGGGATGACCCCTTCGTGGGTGTGGCTACCCCGTCATTATCCAGAGGACACATGGGTAGAGAGGTCTTCTCAGTAAGGCAGGCGACTCAGGCCAGAAGCTGACCTAATAAAGAACCCTGACAGATAAGCTTCTAAAGGAAAAAATAATAATAATTTGAGTCAAAAGATAAACGAGAGATTAGGACAAAACTATTTGAAATTCACATGGTAGATGAATTTGTATAATAAAGTCCATGAACCCAATTTTTAGAATGAACCTAGGAACAGCTCATTCTCGGGATAAGAAACGAAAACTACTAGTAAACACGAAAAAGATACCAAACCTACTAGTAGTCACACAAACACATACCTCTGATTGAAATGAAGCTCAGATTTGGAGTCTTGGAGGTTTTGTGTTGGTTTGTTTTGACTTTTTGCCCACTATGTTACATGGATTGAAAATATAAATAATATCCATCCGTGAGAAAAGTGACAAGGAAAATATTGATTTTCCTACAACAAATGGGGGACAGTTATCAGTAAAATTTCAAGGCATGTTTACAGTATGCTGGTGCAGCTTAGGGGAAGGGACAGGTTAGCAGATGTAGGTAAGAATATATATTATATACAGAGAAATTCATGGAAGTATTATTTATAAGAGAAAACAAACTGGAAATAAGTTGAATGTCCATTACTAGGAAATTAGTTGAATAAATTTCAGTATATCCTATGCCAGTTAGAATGATGTTAGCTGGTATAATAAATAAATACAGGGTTGGCACCCAGAGCACAGTGTTTACGGCACAGGCCACATACACCAAGGCTGGCAGGTTCGAACCCAGCCCGGGGCCAGCTAAACAACAATGACAACTGCAACAAAAATAGCCAGGCATTGTGGCAGGTGCTGTAGTCCCAGCTAGTTGGGAGGCTGAGGCAAGAGAATCTCTTAAGCCCAAGAGTTTGAGGTTGCTGTGAACTGTGATTCTACAGCACTCTACCAAGGGTGACATTGTAAGACTCTGTCTCAAAAAAAGAAAAAAGAAGCAGCAAGTACCATGTAAAACTCAATGTGACCAAAATGACAGTATCACTGTCCAATCTGACTCTAAAGCTTGAGAAGTTGTGCTGTGTCAGCCGACTCACCTATCTCATCCGTAACTAAATGGTTAAGAATAAAACAGAAATATGTTTTTTCTATTAAGCATGTGACTATTTTAAATGTCTACTAAGTTCTCAAAACATAAATTGTTATTGAGGTTTCGGGGGTTCAATTACTTAATAAATGGACCTGTTAAGTATTCCTTTTGATATAGGAGCACCATGAAAAAAATTATTGAGACACTAAGAGACTGTAACTTGAGACATTGGTGTAGTGTCACTCCTGTGGGAGTCCAGTGTGGGTGCTCCTGTCTGATGTGCCCACCTTCCCAGCACATGGTGATCAGGGATCCAGACCTTTCCATCCTGTGACTCTGTCATTCTCTAATGCCTCAGAACATTCTGCTTCTAGCAACCATGAACGGGAAAAGAGAGAGTAAAGAAGCACCTGCTTACTACAGTCCAGGAAAAATACATAAAAATCCCGCTCAGTCTCCCATCAGTGTGAACTAGGCACATGATCCTGCCTCGATGCAAAGGAGGATGGAAAATGTCATCCTCAAGGGGCATCCACTCCTGGAAACTCCTATACTTTATAGAAGGAGGAGAGGAATAGTGTCTATGAATTTTTGACTCAACTAGCCACTGTTGGGAGACAATTGTACACATCTTGAGAGTAGCAGACTGACTGCCATCTCATCTTTTCTAGGACGTTCCAGCTCATCTTTCCAGGATGTTCACATATTAAACAACCTTGAAAGACATAGTATCTTTCTCAAGAGCAAAAGGCAGGAATGCTTTTTGCCAGTGCCAGTTACCAATGTACTGCCTCTCAGCTCCAAATTGACCCTTTTTGCCTGCTCTGTGATAATGGAGATGAGCTCTCTAAATGTTTCTCTTTTTTTTCAGCTAGCGAGATGTGAAACCATCTCAGTAGAGGATGCTGCAGGGACAGTGGAGGGAAAGGAGTTTATCTCTTCTGTTTCTGATTTGGCTCACTCACCAGGCTTCCCAGAAACAACTTTCCTCCATTTCTCAGACCCACACAGTTAGGTTCCCATAGAGCTCAGCTTCCTTCAGCATCTGGCTACTGCACACTGTCCAGGCCTTGACTGGGGATGGGGCGGCATAGACAGGAGCCCCAGAAACCAGGCTGTGTTGCTCTATACCTCCTCTCCTCAGCCCCACGCACACCACAGGCCTTGTAGATCTGGCCATCTAAGGAGCTGGCCACCCCACCTGCATCCCACCCAGGCCTAAACCAACACAGAGGTACACTACCCTTTTGAGAGGGTGGCTGCTTAGCTCCTGTTTCCAGTAGCACCCAGTGGCCAGCAGCTTGCCTGGGCACCTAGTGAGTTCCAAGACTTGGCACCTTCCCAGAGACAACCTTCCCAGGCAGCCCAGAGAGCAGATTTCCAGCAAGATTCACTGTTAAGATACGTAAACAACTTCCGCCATCCAGCGGCCAAGGCTGTGAGTTTTCCAGTGACATCCAGATCTTAGCCAGGAGGAAGGAAGTTTCTACCTGCACACTTATCTCCGCCCTAGTGTAGTGGCTGTTCTTTATATATTTGCTATTCTTCTATTCATTAGAATTCTTTAATTCTCACTAGCTAATTTCCCATGACTTCAATTCTCTGTTCATAATTCTTTATATTAAAACTTTCCCTGTTGAAATAATTATGTGGTTTCTGTCTCCTGTCTGGCCCTAAATAATATATTGCTCCTTACTGAAGGAAAAAAAAAATAATATCTCAAGTTTCCTAAGATCAGGGCTCCTCTCTTATAATAAAACTCACAGCATGTACAGGCCTAATTCTAGTTCTCTTTGTATTGTCCTGTGGGAATTAAGTCTTAGAAAAACTAGTGCCAGAATGCTGATACCCTGGCTATTGCACGGATGTGAGTAATAAACTGTCTTTTGTCTCTAGCCAAGGAGTTTTGTATCTTCTACCAGCATCCATGAAATTATATCAGCTCAACTTGTTAGCTTTGCAAGTTGGCAAATATGTCAGACGTTTCATAGTTTTTGACAGCCCCTCTATGTCATATGTATTAAATACTGTGCAGTTATTAGAGATTAAGGCAGCTCCTTACAGCCTTCTATAATATACTTTAAATTAAAAACAAGCTTGCTCAGTATTTTAACAAGATTCTCTTTTGTTAAAAAATCATACAAATACATTTATAAATTAATATATTTATATTGGTTGTTGACATTGGTAACTTTGGGAGTGGGATTGGAGTGTAAGAATAAGAAAACCATTCCACTTTATGTCTTCTGTGTTTTTTGAATTATTATAATGAGTCTGTGTTGCTTTTTTAATAAAAAGGAATACCATAGTTTTAGAACTATTTATCTGCTAATGCAGCTACCTCCACAATCTTCCCTTGCAGCTATTCCTAAGTGTGCAGCCTTGCTCTGCCCAGAAAATTCCAGATGTTCACCTTCCAGTGAAGATGAAACCAAACTAGAATGCAAATGCCTTCCCAATTACCAACAGGACGGCAAACACTGCCAGCGTGAGTAGAATTGAGATCCTGTTAGTTTATTCATTGAGGTATTCAGGTTATTGAACAGGCAAATGAATCCTCAAAAACTCCTTTATATTAACACAATGACAGTCTTTATTTCTTTCTATGTAACTGAGAGAAATATGTAAGAAATGCCAAGCAAGGCCGGGCACGGTGGCTCACACCTGTAACCCCAGCACTCTGGGAGGCCGAGGTGGGTGGATTGCCTGAGCTCAGGAGTTCGAGACCAGCCTGAGCCAGACTGAGACCCTGTCTCTAAAAGCAGCCAGGCATTGCGGCATCTGTAGTCCCAGCTACTTGGGAAGCTGAAGCAAGAGCATCACGTAAGCCCAAGAGTTTGAGGTTGCTGTGAGCTGTGATGTAACAGCACTCTACCGAGGGCGACAAAATAAGACTCTATCTCAAAAAAAAAAAAGAAAGAAAAGAGTGCCAAGCAAAATGGTCATTGTGTGGTAGTCCATCAATAAATGGCAACATGCTTATTAAAGCACATATATAGAATTTTATACACTTTTATATCACCTTAATGTTGCATAAAATATAATGCTTCTTTTTTTTCTTTTCATGCTTATTCACTTTATAAGAGACTGTCTTGTATATCAGTTAATAACATGGACTCTGCAGCCAGACAGCCTGAATTCAATCCTAGATCTGTCTTTTACTAACTACATGACCTTTAACCTGCCTGTGCCTTAGTTTTTCTATCAAATGGGGATAATAGTGATACCCACCTTAGGGGACTGTTGCGGGAAGTAAATGAGTTAATATACACCAAATTCTTAGAGCATGGCCAGTACTATAAATTCTATAAGCATTAGTTGTTTCTTTCACAACATTAGTTGTGTGTTAACTACACAATATTATGGCATAGTAATATATCAACACAACCACTGTGGTTACAATTGCTAATGATCATACATAAATCTATTTGGTGGAAGGAGAGTGATCAGGTGGAACTGGAAAATGTTCTTCTTAGCAAAGTATCACAAGAATGGAAGAAAAAGTATCCAATGGACACAGCCCTATTATAAAACTAATTTATAGTACTCAAATGAAAGCTACAACCTAATTCTAGCCCAAGAATATGGGGAGGGGGAGGGGAGGGGAGAAGGGCGGATGGGTGGTGGGAGGGTGACTGGGAAGATCACCTCTATGGTCTGTCTAACAAGGGTACAAGTGAACTTTTCTAGAACTAGAGTATAAATGTTTTAACACAATAACTAAGTAAATGACACAAAGTCTCTGTTAACCAGTTTGATGAAAATGTTTCAAATTGTATATGAAAACACTACACTGTACCCCATGTTTGCATTAATGTATACAGCTATCTTTTAATTTAAAAAAGAGAGAGTGATAAGAATGGCTGAGAGAAAGTATTTCCTTCTCTCTGAAAACTGTTGAGTCGTCTGTGGCTTGGATGAGCTATGATCCGCTGGTGCTCACAGCTCAGTTTTCCCTTGTGCGTCCCCCAGTGTGCCTAACCGCCTCTCCTCTTGTCATTGCCTCTGAAGCCATCAATCCATGTTTACAAAAAGTCTGCCACCCTCGTGCTCTCTGCACATACCTGGGACCAAACCAGCACAGTTGTGCATGCCAAGAAGGCTACCACGGGGATGGCCAGGTGTGCTTGCCGGTGGACCCCTGCCAAACCAGCTTTGGAAACTGCCCTATAACATCTACAGTGTGCAAGTATGATGGGCCTGGACAGGTGAGCAAATGATGCAGGGAACTGAGGCATCTCGGAGCCAGACAACGCACCAGAGGTAGACCATGCGTTGGGAACCATCAGTTCACCCGTCCAGGGCTCAGTTGGGGCTTCCTCTCTAGACAGGTCTTCAGTTGCTCAGGGCCTGACTGCAGTGCCCACATCCACCCAGTCTCACTTCTTCAGCTCCCCCATCAAAACTTAACTGTCTCATCTTCTCTCCTACCACAGTCCTCTGGGGTAACTGGCAAATTCAAAATTGGATTAACAAATATACTGTCAACCAAGTCTTGGGTGAATATATGATTGACTTTCGCCCCAAATCTTCCATTGTCTGTAATATCTTTTTAAGTTGAAAGGGGCTTTTAGAATAAAAAAAAATTACCCTGTCCTGAAGGGACACTATTCTAGAGCAATAAGACCTTTCATCTGAGCGTCAGTCTCTGCTCACCTATAGACAATTAAAAACCAGGATTATGGAGCCAGAGAGGTCAAGGTTAGGAAACAAGAAATCTGAAAAGCTGAACTTCACAAACAAGGGTCATGAGCTTCCAGGAGGTGAGATACACAAACGTGGTGTCCTCATCTACATGCTTTGACACATTTTTAGTCTAAGCCGACACTTCAGACCTACTCTGGGTTAGTTTTTAAGGGAGAATAAGAACATGGATTAAAGAAGAATGCCAGCAGAAGTGACTAATGAGGACCCTGTGTGTTTTTCTCTCCCTGTCTACTGAAGTCTCACTGCGAGTGCAAGGATCATTACCACGGTTTTGTACCCGGAGTGGGGTGCACATTGACCAATATCTGTGAGTCAAATAACCCGTGTCATAGGAATGCAAACTGCACCACTGTTGCTCCAGGCCAAACCGAGTAAGTCTTTTCCATCCCATTGCCAACTTTTCCAAGGGGTGAAGGAGGTGGCCTGTCAATGCTGGAAGTTCCTTGAAGGGGAGGCCACATGTCTTATTCAGCCTTGTATCTACCATCTCCTCACAAAGTAGGAACAAGGATCACAGGGGGTGCTTGGTAAACCTTTCCTTAACCAACAAGCTACTCAATAATCTCCTTTACCATGACCATTAGAACATTCTGGAGTGTTGATTTGCCTGATGGCTTGGTCTGAAGTGGTCAGAATGTGGGGAAAGGAAACCACTGTGATGGGGAAACAGATGGTTGTCGTGATCACAGAGGTTTAACCTCTGATACCACATCCCTGTTTACCCGCTCAGGAAATATTGCCCACTAGTGGTGCCTAACAAGACTGGACAAAGTGGCTTGGTGCCTGTAGCTCAAGGCAACAAGGTTCAGTGGCAAGAGGCTTTTCCCAAAGCCTCAGAGTATTTAGAGTACACTTAGAGCACTTAGACCCCCGTAATTCCATGCCCTGATGGTTCCAAATCAGCTTCCAGGGCCTGGACCTTGGACCCCCCTCCCCTCAGGGTATAGCCCCAGTATGGCTGTTCACAGCAGGTGGAGGATGAGCCAGTGTTACCTTCACCACACTCAAGAACACACCTTTGGCCCAGGTTCTACTGAACTACTTATTGTTTGCCATAGTTTGGGCTGCTATAACAAAGTCCACTAATCTGGGTGGTTTATACATGCAAACAACAAAAATTAAAATTTGTTTCTCACAGTTCCAAGGCCAGAAGTCTGAGATCAAGGAGCCAACATGGTCAGGTTCTGGTGAGGGTTCTCTTGCAGGTTGCAGAAAGCTATCTTCTCACTGTATCCTTACGTTGCAGAGAGAGGACTAGAGAGATCTCTAGGGTCTCTTTTATGAGGGCACTAATCCCCTTCACAAGGGCCCCACCCTCAGGACCTAATCACCTCCCAAAGGCCTCATCTCCTAATTCCATCACTGTGGGGGGTAGAATTTCAACAAATGAATTGAGGGGAGAGTGACACAAACCTTTAGGCCATTGCATTTTTCCTCAAACATGTCAGGATATTCCCAACTCTGGGATTTTACACACACTCTTTCTTCTAGAACATCTCTGCCTCCTCCACCTGCCCTCCACTCACCTCCTCTGAGTCAGACTAAAACTCTGATCCTAAAACTTTGATGCTCACTTCAATTATCACCACCTCTAGAATGACTCCCCTGTTCTCCCAGTCCACTCTGATGACTCTTCTTCTGGGTTTCCAGAGCACCCTGAGTGCTTCCCTGAGAATTTATGGCCGAGAACTGTAATGGGTACATAGCACAGTGGTGGTAAGCACAGACAGGCATTGCTGCTTAAGGCTGTGTGGTCTTCAGTGAGATACTTAACCTTTCTGTGCCTCAGTTTCTAAAATGGGGTTAATAACAGGACCCTCCTCCTATGGTGGTTGCATTAAATAAGATACCATAGTGAGATCCTTACAAGAATAATTATCGTTAGTGCTATTAATAAATGCTAGCTATTATTGTCATTACTGATTTCATTACTAGAATAGAAAGTTCTCTGGGGTCTACATTTTATTCACCTTTGTTGCAACACTTACAGCTGTGATCGCTGCTACAGAGAAGAGCTACATGGCGCCAGGAGAGTATGTGTAATGGTGACCTGATTTGTAGAGAGGGAGTGGAGGAAGAGAAGGGCAATCAAGGAAGGCTTCCCTAAAGAAGCTGCAGAGATCTCAGCTAGGAAGTAGATCAGTAGTTCTGATTCTTTATTGTCCCACAGGCTGACTTCAGTCGCTTGTTCTGATTCGGACATTCTGCAATAGAGCCCTGGAATCTATGTTTACACATACTTAGCACTCCAGGGGATTCTGATGCACATGGTCTCTTGATCACACTTTGAAAAATACCAAGACAAAGAGCATTTAGGGAGGCCAGGCGCAGTGACCCAACCTGAATCCTAGCACTCTGGAAGGCAGGCGCAGTGACTCAATCTGAATCCTAGCACTCTGGAAGGCAGGCGCAGTGACCCAACCTAAATCCTAGCACTCTGGAAGGCAGGCGCAGTGACTCAATCTGAATCCTAGCACTCTGGAAGGCAGGAGGATTCCTTGATCTCAGAAGTTCGAGATCAGTCTGAGCAAGAGTGAGACCCCTATCTCTACTAAAAATAGAAAAAATAACTAGCCAAATGTCATGGCAAGTCCCAGCTACTCAGGAGGCTGAGACAAGAGGATCTCTTGAGCCCAAGAGTTTGCGGTTGTTGTGAGCTATAATGCCACAGCACTCTACCCAGAGCAATGGAGTGAGACTCTGTCTCAAAAATAAAAAGCATACAAGATATCTAGTGTTTGTAGATATGCTTAACTTAATAGACAGACATTTCTTGAAGGCCTACTTAATGTCAGGTACTATCCTTGGAGTGCTTGCTGTGTTTGTGGCTCTCTTCTGTCTCTGTTTTCTACTGGGATCCTTTGCTTCATCTGTTAAAAGAGGCTGTCGGACTGTATAATTTCAACATTGAACAGCTCTAAGCCCCTGAGAATGTGTTTTCACTCTCTCTGTAGATGCACTTGCCAGAAAGGTTACGTGGGCGATGGCTCAGTGTGTTATGGAAACATTATGGAGCGACTCAGAGAATTAAACACTGAACCTGGAGGACAATGGCAGGGAAGGCTGACATTTTTCATCACACTCCTGGGTAGGCAACGACGGGCACAGATTTCTGCATAGAAGACAGACCTCTTTCAGGCAGGGGCAACTGCAATTGTTCAGAAAAGAAGGGCTTGTCTATTGGGATCAGCCTTTCCAGGGAGGGGTCGTGCAGGTGGGAGGGAAAAGGCAGGTGGCTGTTTCCAAGCAGACAGGCAGGAGTTAGTACCAAGAGATCTAGCAGTGTAGGGATTAGTAGGCAGAGAGCTGAGGGTCCGGGGGTCACCCCCACGGTAGTGAGAGCATATGGCGGGAGTGTCCTAGGCAGACTGGACCATCAGTTGTTTCCCTGGACAGAGCTCTGTTGTCACCTTCCCCATCACAAATTCTGGTACACTCAGCCTCCTGTTTGAGAACAAGAAGCCAGTCCTGGCCTCCCATGTTGCCCAAGATATGTAAACAGGACTGGCTACATACATCAAGGGCCCAGAACAAGATAAAAATGCGGTACCCTTTGTTCAAAAAATGATTAAGCATTTCAAGATGGCAACAATAGAGCCATTAAACCAACCATGGGGTGCTTCCAAGCTGGCCTAGGAAGCAAGGGCTGCATCTTTGCCCCCTGGGATGGTGACAGCTCAGAAGATCAAGCACAGGTCAGGGACCATGGGGTTTTCAGAGGACTTCATCATACCTGAACTGCTCATCACAGGGGATCCCTAAAGTCAGGGCTGTGACTACAGGGAAACCCTCACAACCTTAGATTCAGAACCTACTGGGGTGCTGGCTTCAGGGTGCCTCGCATTAATGCAAGGATAATGTTAAGTTTACACAGAATTTAATAGGGAGCTTCCCAATTGACATAAGGTCTCAAAGACCCACTAGAACACAGAAGGGCATGAAAGGACCAGTGATTACCTTTATTTCATTCCTCCTGTGCCAATGACCCATTTGTTTTGTATATTTTGACTCCTAAGACAAAGCTTACGCCTGGCCACTAAGTTACCTGGGACCGTTCACTGTGCTGTTGCCCACAGACAATGGATTGAAAGGCTTCAATGTGAGTATCTGAAATAACCCTACACCCAGGGGCTGATGTGAGAAGCCTTAGTAGGCAGGACTTCTTTGTATTTAAAGTTAAAAACTCCACTAAAAATAAACTTACTGATGGTGATTTTTTTTTCTGATGGTGATTTTTTGATAAATATATTTAAGGGAAATGTAACATTCCTACAGAAAGCACCCAAATTGTTAGTGTATAACTCAATGAATTTTCCCAAAGTGAATGTACTTGTGTATCTAGCAAGTTCATTCCCAGGACCCAAGAGGGCCCCCTCACTCCCCTTTCCAGTCCTAAACCTCTAAGTTTATGTGATAAAATAAGATTTGCATGATGTAACTCACTTCCCACAAAATTTAAACTAATAGGTAGTTTTGTTTCTTTAAAATCTTTAGAAATGGTAACAGTAATAGGTTAAACAAGAAGACAACGTCAGTCTTCCACGTAAGCAGCTGTTGTTGGAAATAACATCACCCAGTGGGAATGAATCTTGCAGTGGTTGGCGGATGTGTCCTAGTATGACAGAATCAATGAAATAATTACAGTTGGTTTAACAAAAATAATGGACGAGTAGATTTATATAAAATTAAGGTTTACCTTAATCCAAGATATTTGGGGATAATAAATTTTGCTGCGTTGAATCAAAACCCAGTAAATTCCAGGCTCTGTCACTCAAGAATACCACCATCATTAATCTGTCTGAGATTTGTCTGTCTCTTATTAACCTTCAAAAATGTCCATACACCCCTTCTATTGGGGAGAATGAGCAAATATTAAACACGTCTGGGCTAGGCACTGTGTGTGCGGTCTCATGTTTAAAGTATAGGGTAAGTTTACACAGAATTTACAAAGTACCTATTGATTATTGACTATGTAGCAGCGACAAACTATAGATTTGGTCCAATATATTTAAAAATCTTAACTTTTCTATTCAAAAGCACCATCAGTCCACTTGCTTTACCTTCTTCTTTCCCACAAAACTTCACATTTCATTCTCATCCATCTCCTGGGTTCAAGACAGATTTCTTTTTCCTTGTCCTTTGTCACTTTCAGCGCTATAGCAGCCTCCCAGGGTTGAGGGTACACCACGAATTGCCACCAACTCCCCAGGTTTCTACTTCCTTTAAGGCCCAGCCCAGGTTGATTGTGCTGGTGGAAGTCGTCTGTGTCTGAAAGCCCAAACCCAAGTTGGGGTGCCCTGGTGTTGCTGCTTTAATACTAAATAAAGCACAGTCTGCATTACACAAAGCTCATCTTCTCCTTCCAAGAGTCAGGCTGGCTCTCTTTTCCTAGGTGAAAGAGCTTTTGATGAATAGTGGAGCTGCTCAGTTCTTTGTGAAACTCCACATAATCGCGGGGCAGATGAGCACCAAACAAATGAATCACACACACACCTTCTACACCGTGACCGGCCAGTCAGGGGAAATCAGCAACGAGGATAAGGTAAGAGTCTCTCTGGTTGTCACGTCCAGAACAAAGTTGTCCACCAAGCCGATGCCGTAGCCTCCTTGCTCTTTGTTTATCTTGGGGTTTGTGAAAGGTTACTAAGACCTTCTTTCCTTATTTCCTGTGTGCTAAACACCTCCTACAGCAAGAAGCAGAGAAACCCCCAGGAAGGGCCAGGGAGGAGGGGTGGGCTGCTGTGTAAAGGGGATTATGAAGCATTTGGGTTTGGTCTTAGTTTTCAAGGCAATTATCCTTCAGCTGCCAGCAGGAAGGGGAAACTTTGCTGTAAACCTCTTTTCTGGAAGCATCAGCATGAAGCCAGATCAGCATTCCTCTTAGAAAAGGAAATAGATTATCTGTTTTAGTTAGCTAGAGTTGGTCCACCTTCTCCAACTTAATGTACCATTTTTCCTAATGCCAAATAACTCTTTTGTGACTGGGGAGCAGATGATTAATCAACCCTGTGTGCATGTGTATAGGCACATGACCTTGACTATTACATTTTACCAAATATCAGTAGTTAGTAAATAGATCATTGAGTACTTGTTCTATGCAAAGTGCTGAAATAAATCTTCACTGGTATAAAATTCATATAAATTCACAATCAGCCTGTGAAGGAAGTCCTATTATCATTCCTATTGTTCCAATGGGAAAGCAGAGAGGTCCCATAGGGAGTGCCAAACCCAGGATTCAAATGTGGGCCTGCCTGACTCCAAAGCCCACATCTTTAACCAGTCTTCTCTGCTGTGTTATGAGGTTGAATGGATAAATGGATGGATGGATGGATGGATAAATGGATAGATGGATGGATGGATAAATGGGTGGGTGGATGGATGGATAAATGGGTGGGTGGATGGATGGATGGATGGATAAATGGGTGAGTGGATGGATGGATGGATGGATGGATAAATGGATAGATGGATGGATAGATAAATGGACAGATGGATGGATGGGTGGATAAATGGATAGATGGATGGATGGATAAATGGGTGGGTGGGTGGATGGATGGATGGATACATGGATAGATGAATAAATGGGTGAGTGGATGGATGGATGGATGAATAAATGGATGGATGGATGGATGGATGAATAGATGGATGGATAAATGGATAGATGGATGGATAAATGGATAAATGGATAGATGGATGGACAGATAAATGGGTGGACAGATGGATGGATGGATGGATGGATGGATGGATGGATGAATGGATGGATAAATGGATGGATAAATGGATGGATGGATGAAAGGATGGGGGGATACAGAGATGGGTTGATGTGTGGATGGATAGATAGCAGAGATGAAGGTGTGGCTTCCTTTCTCACAGGCACATGCATGTATTCACTTGCTCATACATTGAACAAACATTGCCAAGTCTATAACTTGTAGAAGTCATATGGGAGGAAAGGGAACTAGCTTCGGTTACTCATTCAACAGATATTTTTTACTGTGTGTCTTCTCTGTGCAAGACACTAAAGTAAGTGATGAATTTACAGAAAAGGTGTACAATTTGCCCTTATGGAGCTTGCAGTCTTTTAGAGGAGAGTTTTTCTTATGCCTTATCCACGTTCAACATACAATAATTGTCAGTAATTTCACACATGATCTCATTTGGTCTAAATGAAAACCCTGTGAGGTTAACTAAGCAGAAACCATCCTCCCTGTCATAGATTCAGTGACATCCAAAAATCCTATAACCAATAAGTAGCAGACTGAAGGACTCAGGACTTCTGAGTTCTAATACAGTGCTTGCTTCTTTTAGGACAACACATTCATTTTATTTTATCTTTCTTTGGTGTTTTAGGATAATCAACTAAAGCTTAGACTCTATGGAAGCCAAAAGACGGTAAAAATCATACAGGGGGACATAGTTGCTTCCAACGGGCTCCTGCACATCCTCGACAGAGCCATGGACAAGATAGAGCCCACCTTCGAGAGCAACACTGAGGTGAGATATTCCAGGCAAAAGTAGTGTCAACCCAAACCCATCTTCCTTTGTTCCCTGAAGAGTCACATCCAAGAAGAAAGTGATCAAGCACTTGTACTCGTCTTTCATTTGTCCTAGGGGCTCAGGCAGAAAAAGACGGGATGATTTTTCCATTTTCAGTGGGATTCTGTCTAAGTCCACAGAAAGGAAGAAAGGCATACAGTATGCACGTGGGAAAGATCTGGGTAGTTTTAGTTAAGTTTCACCTCTTTCTCAAGCACATCAGACTATTCAGTCCAGTGACCAGTTGTCATGAAATTTTAAACCTCATGCTTTATGGAGGAGGAAAGTTGTCGCTGCAATAAAATGTATTTCCTCTCACCAATATGACGAACCCCCAAGGCAAGTCAGAACAGGCAAGTCTGAACTCCCATTCAAAGGACAGCAAACGTTTGCGTAATGCATTACAGGTGGCCGACTTCTTTCATATAGCCACACGCACACATACCCACACTCTATTATCAGTGTCTTAATGTTAGGGTTTGTGTTTCCTAAGCCACCTTGTTATTTTTTATTTTACTGATTTTTAAGCAAAATGTCTCTTTTTAGCAAACCATAATGACAATGCTACAGCCAAGATACAGCAAGTTCAGATCTTTGTTAGAGGTATGTACTTTTCATGAATGTTTTGAAATTTTTTTGATGTCAAACACTTTATAAAATTAGCAGGAGTGTCGATTATAAATACTTTCTAGGAGGGCGGCGCGTATGGCTCAGTGAGTAGGGCGCTGGCCCCATATACCAAGGGTGGCGGGTTTGAACCCCCACCCCGGCCAAACTGCAACAACGGGTGTCGTGGCAGGCACCTGTAGTCCCAGCTACTTGGAAGGCTGAGGCAAGAGAATTGCCTAAGCCCAAGAGCTGGAGGTTGCTGTGAGTTGTGACGCCACAGCATTCTGCTGAAGGCGACAAAGTGAGACTCTGTCTCTAAAAAAAAAAAAAAAAAAGTACTTTCTGGGGAATTACTTCAAATATTTGTCTGAGGCAGGTGGCAGATACAAAATTTCATTTCGTCCAGTCTCCTACACTTAGCCTGCCTTTTGCATAGTTTATTTACTAAAATTCTTGTTAATGTTATGTATAGAGATTATCAACCAACCTACTCAGCAATGAAATATGTCTGCTATACAAAAAAAAAAAAAAAAAAATTCCATTTCCCAAATTCAGGAAACCAATGTGGGACACGCCTTAGGTGAAGATGGAGTTGGTGGACCCTACACCATTTTTGTTCCAAGTAATGAAGCACTGAATAAGATGGGCAGCACTCTCCATTATCTCCTTTCTCCAGAGGTACTGAACCCTACTTACACTGATGACATTGTGTCAGCTTCATTGTCTCAGTCTGTGTCCAGGCAAGCTTTGACTAAACTAGGGCTAGCAAATAAGTAGCACATATATCATTACCTGTTCTCCTACAACCAAGGCAGACATCACTAATCAATCACAACATTCTGGAACTAAGTCCAAATGTGACTTTAGTCTTCTCAACAGAATTCCAAGTAGGTCTGATCAGTCAGTTAGACTTACGCAGGAAATAAAATCTATTTGCAAACTCAGGTCTAAATGATTGGTTTGATTTGTGCTGGCTTTTCTAATATTTCCTAGTAGTAAAATCAACATTTTCATTTTAAGTTCTCTGCATCTATAAAACTTCCTAGAGAATGAAAACTAAACTAGGCCAGGCCTCGGCTAAGCTTTAAGGGTAAATAATGTTATTTGTAAATGCTCCAGCCTTTTTTATCTATGCTTTCATCTCTCTTCACAATATCATGGGCCCTTAATTCTTTTAAATTCCCTCTAAAAAAGGAGATTGTCTTCTTCATGCTAGGGTATAAATGAATGAAACCATTTAAAGTGTTTCCCAGAAATAACAGCCTTAACATGAAGAGAAGGAGAGCTAATTATGGAATGTTGTTCATCAGAACATCAAATAAAACATGAAGGACCGGCTCAGCGCCTGTGGCTCAAGTGGCTAAGGCGCCAGCCACATACACCTAAGGTGGCAGGTTCTAATCCAGCCCAGGCCAGCCAAACAACAATGACGGCTGCAACCAAAAACTAGCCAGGCGTTGTGGCGGGAGCCTGTGGTCCCAGTTACTTGGGAGGCTGAGGCAGGAGACTTACTTGACCCCAGGAGTTGGAGGTTGCTGTGAGCTGTGATGCCACATCACTCTACCCAGGGGGACAGCTTGAGGTTCTGTCTCAAAAAAAAAAAAAAAAAAAAATGAAGGACGACAAGGTTTCTTCCAGTGCCCTAAAGTCATGCCACCATCCTGGCAATAGAGCAAGATTCCCTATGACAGATCAATGTTAATTATGCAGAATGGGGGGCTTGAGGCAGACTCCAAAGCCCTACCCCAGACATTGTGATTTAGTGGTGCCAGAATGAGGCTAGAAATAGATCAGCTGGTAAGCACCAAGTCCCTAACTCAGGTGGTCCCGAGCTATACTGTTTTGGAGATTCTAACACTGGTTACCTGTTTGTTCTAGGGCTTCACATGAATATATTCCTTTCTAGAATACTTTTGGGTTTCTATAAAGGATATCTTGCTTTCAAAAAACTTTGACTTGATATAAAGTTATCAGGAAGATAAATCAGAAGGTAATGTCGTACATTACAAACAGAAGTTCAAAATATGAAAGGATTTGCTACAGGTTTCCAATAAAAAAAGACAATCTCCCAGGGTCTTCCAAAATAGGATATTACCGTTAAAATACGAATTATACTCAAATGTTCTGAAACCTAGCTATTGCAGAAAACCTGTTATACCTCTCTTTCGAGCTCACATTCATGTGTCAAGTGAGCTAAAAAAAATAATTTTGTTCCCCTGGGAAATTATTATACTCCTGAGATTATATGGCTTCCCTGAGTGCATAGCTTCTAATTTGATACAGATTTTTTTTTAATAGTAATAACAATAAAGGAGTTAGCAGGCACTAATTAGGTATACTTAAAATTACAATAAAACTTTTTAACCAAAATGGAGGAAAAAATCTACTTCCTTGCTTTTTTGTCAAGCACCTTCGTTCAGAAAACTCCCTTTCTTCTCCCTTGTCACTCCTGAAGATGGCTCACTCAGGCTTTCAGTCAGTGTCTGATCTCTTCTCAGATGGGTTTGGTGAGATCTCATTGGTAACTGGAAATTAACCTTTGGTAAGAATATTTACACCACAGGAACTAGAGAGCCCCTGGCTCTCAATCCTGTTTCCTTCAAAGGCAGTACTTTTCTGCCTGCAAAGAATATAAAATTTCAGGTCTCTTTGTCCTGAGTTAAAAATTGCTTTTCTGCCTCAATTTTGAGGTGAGACTAGAACAACCACACGGGCCTCTTTCTCAGATACGAGACCTGTGTGGGTTAAAATTTCTCAACCTGCAAGAAGCTCTTTCCCGCTCCAGCTTTCTTAATAAGCATCCTTTAGCTTTATCTTCAAGGAACAACCTCAGCTGGGGCCAGGAAATGGAAAATAAGCTGGTTTCATCAGAAGAAGGGTTTCTAATTCTGACTTTGGAACGCCATGTTTCCTTTCCAGCCTATCTTTCCACTTTTTCCGGAAGCAAAATTTTGATCTGGACTCATTAACTCAGCCTGGCAGAGACCACAGCTTCTGATTTTAAGCCCCATTTTATAGCTTCATCACTGACCTAGACAGAAATCAAAGCAAAGAGAGCCAGAGACTTGCCCTTGACAGTTCACGCATAACTTGCAAGTAAAATGGGGAAAGGGAGGCAGATGCACAGCGTTCAAGGTCATGTTAACAACGTGATAGAAAAACTCTTCTTCTGCCTCTGGCACCCAAGGCCTTGTATTTCTGATGTTGTTGTTTATCTACAACAGTAGGCAGGAAGTTAAGTGTCCTCATAAAGAAAAGATTTCCCTTAACAGCAGCAGCCTCTGGGCGCATATCCTGTTGATCTGAACCATAGTGGGGTGAATTCTAATCAAACATGGCACCCGCCTGGGGCCAGATAAGCTTCTAGGCACACACAGTGGCGGAAGTGATTAATTCCTTGGTCTCTTTCAAAGACCTTGATAAGGTCTTCTCTCCCTTATCAACAGGATTCAACACCAATTAATTCTTGGGGCCTTAGAAGTGGATCATCCAGCTGATAAATGCTTTCCCGTAGAAGCAGAGGGCTGGAAGGGATCCTCAGTAATCCCTCTCTCTATTTTGCAGGCAAAAACTAAGATCCCAGAGTTCAGTGACGTGCTCAAAGTCACACATAAGCAGAGCCAAGACCAGAGCTCATCCAGGATCCCTCCCCAACTCCTTTACATGTTTTTTGCATAAATGTTTACAGAGAGCCTAATGTGTGCCTCATCCTATGCTGGCTGGGGATGGGATAATTAACGAGCCAGACAGGCCCAGCCCCTGCCTGCAGGAGTTTGCAATCCAGTTTGCTCAGACATTTCCCAACATTTGTCCCACCCCTTCTGCCCCTGAGCTGAGGAGCATGCAATAACATTGTTTCTGCCTGTGAGTCCCAACCTCTGAATACCATGGAGTAGCTCCAAGGGGAAACTGAGACCCAGAGGGTAGGTGACTTGCTCAGGGTCATATACAACTGAATAAGGGCTGCAGAATCCATCACTTCCAAGGCCAACTAACTGGAAGTCAACATCAACATTTTACTGATTACCCTGCCCTGCCCATAAAGCTATCGACTTATAGATATGGTGGTCATGTAATTTATCATCCATACCAGGACGCTTTTGAGAGTGAATGGAGCTACCCTAATAAGCCAGGTAACTCTCCCTACCTACAGGTAACTCCCCTGGCATAGTGGCCAAGGTCAAATGCAGAGAGAAGGCTGGGTGAGCGGAACTCTGGCTCAGAGGGTTTTCTTTCAGCCTGGAACTCACACTGTTGGAACTTGTCTCTAGAATGATCAGCCTCTTGGGATGTTACCAGGGTCTTGATCTGTGATCCTTCGCCTTTCCAAATCAGAGGAACTATGGCTGTGACACTTAAGGGCTTTGGAGCTTGTAACTCACAGCTCTGACTCCACTAGGAGATTGCAGACACATCTCACCAGATCCCTATGGCCACTGCCTTCTTTCCCAAAATATAGTGGTCACCAGGCTCCTGGGCTCTGCAGCCTCTCTCTAGGGACTACCTGTCCTGTCTATAGTCCCCTCTCTGTGGCTAAGATGCTCTTTTCTCTACCATTGCCTCAGTTGTCTGAAGCATGAAAAACCTTAAAAAGGGCTTTGAAGGAGGAACAAGCTTTTTGTGGAAAAGGTAGTCAGGGTCCTTGGGACTGCATATTCCTAAGTGACCACTGTGTGGTCTGACAAACAGACATTTATTTATGGAGCAAGTGAAATAATCATATATAGTTAGAAAATCCAGAATGTAGCCTTAGACATTCAGAGGGACTGACAACCAAGGCTAATTCTTAAGCTCATGTCACGTATAGTTTCGTAACCTCGGCCATGTCTTTGAAACTGTGTGTTAACAAACCTAGAACGGGCCAATAGTTGTTGCTACCTCAGAGGGCTGTTGAGGAGATTAAATGAAATGTGTACATTATGTTTTCACAACCCCTTCTTCCTAAGCGTGGAAATTTGGTGAATGTTAGCTGTTTTGGAGATGGGATTTTTCTCACCCCAGACTTCCAAATACAGAGATTAGGGTCATTTATTTTTCTTGATCACATGTACAAAGTCAAGAGGCTCCCACAAGAGGGAGAATGTTGTGCATTCATCATTGACTAAAGTATTCTGATTCCTTTATAGGGATCTCGGAAGCTTCTGGAACTTGTCAGATACCACATTGTCCCATTTACCCAGGTAGGCCCTCGTTTTTCTGCCTCTACTTTTTCCCTGCTTTCAAGATACCACATGTGAATTTCAATATTTTGATGCTAAAAAAATTTGTGACATTTGTTCTTTTTCTGTAGCTCTGAGGAAACCCTCAGCTATACGTAATGAGTCTGTTATCAGAGAGATCGTCAAAGCCATAAAAACTCATGACATTGAAATCCCCATTATTTATTTCATAAGCTTTTAAGGCTATTTTTTCCAGGGAGGACATTAAGAACTCAGGATTCAGCTGGGCAAGGTAGCTCATGCCTGTGATGCTGGCACTCTGGGAGGCCACAGCAGGTGGATTGCTTAAGCTCGGGAGTTCAAAACCTACCTGAGCAAGAGCAAGACCCCCATCTCTACTAATTAAAAAAAAAAAAAAAGGCTAGCTGGGTATAGTGGCACACGCCTGTAGCCCCAGCTACTCAGGAGGCTGAAGCAAGAGGATGGCTCAAGCCTAAGAATTTGAACTTGCTGTGAGCATGATGCCACAGCACTACCCAGGGAGGCGGAGTTAGACTCTGTCTCAAAAAAAAAAAAACTCGGGATTCAGTCAGTGGCCCCAAACGTCTCTGTTCATTTTTTCTTCTTATTGTAGCTTGAAGTGGCCACTCTCGTCTCAGCCCCTCGCATTCGGAGCATGGCCAACCAGATCATACAGTTTAACACCGCCAGCAACGTAAGTGAACGCCCACCCCTGCTGTGGTTTGCTCCGATGATGACTATTCATCAGGTTGTCCTGGCTCCACGCTACCCCACAGGCTTAAAATCCTTACCATCCTCTCATTCATTTGTCCCTTCTTTCAGCAAATATCTGCTGAGCCATCCAACATGTGACAGTCCACACACATGCAAGGGAGGAAGCTGTGAAAAAGGCAGACACACCCAGCAGAGAAAACGGACCTTAAACAACTCATTAGGCAATCAGTTAATTATTTAATTGCAATTGTAATGAGTGCCCCTCCCCCAGGGGGAGTTGAGGGGGCTGTGAAAGCACCTAACGGGAGGCATCTAAGAAAATCTAGAGGTCAGGACATCCTCAGCGAAGAGGGGAGAACTTGGTCAGGCTTTGCAGGATAAGCAAAGTGAATAGAAGAGACTTCCAGGCAGAAAGGGGAGCACGTGCAAAGACCCTGAGGTGTGAGAGAACCTGACTTATTTTTTTTCTGTGCACCAATAAAATTTTATTTATAAACATTGAATTTTAAATTTCATATCACACAACATGTCATGAAATATAATCATTTTCTTTGTTTTGAACATTTTTCTTTTTTCTAGTGTTTGGGATTCATGAAGGGTACAAAGAATTGGGTTATACTGATTGTACTTGTTAGGTAAAGTCCCTCTTATAATTGTGTCCTGCCCCCAAGAGGTGTGCCATACACTGTGACCCCCCATCCTCTCCCCT